AAAAATAAAATCCGTCCAAAAGGATTAATATGCAGCAATTATATAATGAGTGAGATCTTATACTTTATCTCACTTTATTTTCAAGGAGAAGTTGAGACAAGAGGTGATCGCATCCCCATAAATCTTGTTGGCTTAGGCCCTCCTGTTAATAATGGCCTTTCAATTTTCAATAATCTTGGAAACCAATTGGTTCTCTACAACAACAACGAGTGTTAACAACGGAAGAGTGTAATGTTGCAATGTATTATGTTCTAATGAATTGTGAAGAACTGAAGGGATGGATTGAGTGAGTGCATTTTTCTAATCCTTATCCTTAACAACATTTGAGAAAGAAAATAATCTATTTTAATTTACACATAACTATAATGAATGCTTGATGCTTAATTAGGGTTTTCGAAGAGGAAGAATGTCAAAATATGACTCCCCAACAAATACAGATGAAATGTTCCAATTATCTTGTGTCATAGTTTCAAAAATCAGTAAGTTTATTCAATTATTTTAATTCTTATTAATTAATTATTATATACTTATAACTAATAAAATAACTCATGTGATATATGTTTTACATGATGAATTTGATGACATTGATGAGCATTTGATTTGTTTGGCTCATGGCCCATCTTGGATGGTTTCATGCTATAAAGGCTTTTGGGTAAACGGTTTCCAATTTCACATGGCCTCATATGGAAGAAATAAGAGAATGATGAATAGCGATGTGTGTATCACGGGAACCACAAGAATAGAATCAAATTTGGATTTTTATGAGTTATTGTAGGAAGTGATTGAGTTTCAATTTATTGGCTCCAGACAAATGTGACTAGTATGAAGTTCCTCATGCACGAGGAATTATAGTTGACTGAAAACATCGTCTTGTTGATATTAATCCAAATTGAAAACTGAAAACATATGAGCCTTTCATCTTAGCGAGTCAGATCTAACGAAAATGATGGCTTTACAATTCTAGAATTTTCAATTCTTTCATTTAACAAACCAACCTTTGTAGCTCAAAGTTTCAAAGGTGGATGAGGATTTTCATACGTTTCTACCAGCAGTTGCTTTCAATTAGCCTCAGCCACTTGCATATAATCATATACAAATAGTAAAAATTGTTGGAGTTGTGTTGTCAAAGCTGCACAAGTGGCAGAAAATGCAAATGAAAGGCAAAACAAAATGGTAGTAAATGAAGAAGAGAGAGCTGCACCAACAGCACGGTAGCAGCAAAGTGCAGCAAGTTAAGCTGCAAATGTTGATGAAATAAGGCTATAATAATAATAATCCCCAAAAATTTCAACACAATTGTTGGATTATTAATTTTTTTTCTTGTTTATGATTGTTACTTGCTTTACTTTTAATAATTTATGAATTTTGTTGTTATTGTAAAAAAGAACATTTGCTAAATTCCAAGATAGCTTAGTCCAAGCTGGTGATAGCTAGGTACTGTAAACGAATATGCTGCAAGGTCATAATCATAGAAATAAATGCTTGAGTTCACATTCACCTTAGTTTCTTGAAAATTTAGAGATATTTAGGAATAGAATTTCCACCTTGACTGTTTTACGATGTGTTCCTTGCAACTGTGATTCAATTCTATAAGATATAAAGGAACTGAAAAAGGAAAAATCCCAATTTAATGGTGAAATGAAGCATGCTTACATTGATGTGAATGGACTCAGGAAAAGCAGATTGTTTACAAAGTCTATTGTGCTAAGCTAGATTAGAAAAATTCAGCTTTCTTGAAAATTCAAATTTAGAGAGCAGCTTATGACTATATACATGTTGGGAAAAATGACGCAATGGAATAAATTAATTCATGCGAACAATAACAAATAAATGGTGAAACTGGCAGCTTAGCCAACCAATACTAACGGTTAGTAAAAAAGGCAACGTAGCCAACCAAGCAAAATAAATTGGGCAGTTTGACTAACCATTTAGGAAGAAAATAAAACGGGCGGTTTAATCAACCACTTAAGAGGAAAAATAAATAGTAAGATGACACCAAATTTTATGTGGAAAAATCCCCAAAAACTATTGAGGAAAAAACCACGGGATAAACTCCGAACGGTATTCTACTATGGGTTAAATATCCTTTTTGGTCCCTCTACTATAGCAAAAAGCCCTTTTTAGTCCCTATACCAAAAAATCCCTTTTTTGGTCCTTACTATTTGAAATCCAACCCCTTTTTAGTCCCTCCATTAAATTTTTGCTGATGTGGCAGGTTAACTAACGGAATATTTTTTATACAAATAATATTATAAATGAGGTGAAAATTATGTGGATGCCACCTGTACAAATTAAAAATTTTACTTTTTAATTCATCAATTAAATGAATTTAAATAGGATTAATTTTAATTTCTTAATCGTTTTTGTCTTCTTCTTCATTAACATTGATAAATTTCTAGGCCTGAAGTGATGTGGGAAGAGTTGCAGATTACGCTGACCTTCTTTCTCCTCATCCTTGGCATCATACTCATCCTCACCAACTACTAGCCTCCTTACGGGTTCACAAACCTAGTTTGGGTTCTTCACGGAACCCTTTTTCTGGGTTCGCAAACCCAAGTTGCTGGGTTCGTGAAACCCAAATCTAGATTCTATGATGCTTGGTTCGCGGAACCCAATTGCTGGGTTTCGCGAGGAACCCAATTGTTGGGTTTCGCGAGGAACCCAATTGTTGGGTTCTATGAACCCAGTTTCTGGGTTCCTTGCTTGTTAGGTTCTGTGAACCCAGTTTCTTGGTTCCTTGTTTGCTGGGTTCAAGGAACCCAGTTTTTGCTACATTGAGGCATTGAATCACTTTTTTCATTTTCTAATCGGATTTGATCTGTAGACTGATTTTCCTCACTAGAGTTTTAAGCCATCTGAATCAACGTTGTATCTTTTCTTCTCATTTCGCACAGATTTGTGGCACAGTGAGGCATCAATTTGTTTTTTGCTAGATCAGATTTTGATGCTTAGCTCTTATTTTATTAAGAATGTGACCCGATCTTGTGTGTTATTATTGGTAATTCTACTGCATTATTGGTCTATCTCATTTGTAAAACAATTTTGATGAGACATCGAGAAATTTGAGGATAATTTCTCATTTTCTTGGGTTTTGCAAGCAACCCAGAAAATTAGGTTCGAGGAACCTAGCAAGAGGGTTCTACAAGCAACCTAGAAACTAGGTTCGTGGAACCCAGCAAGGGGGTTCTGCGAGTAACCTAGGATGATGAAGAGGATGACGGGTAGGATGTTGATGACATGATGATGCCGAGGATGAGGATGAGGACTAGGATAAGGATAAGGAGAAAAAAGATGAAGAAATTAATATTAATCCTATTTAAATTCATTTAATTCATGAATTAAAATGTAAAATTTTTAATTGAGGAGTGCTAGGGGCACTCGCCTCTTGCACTTTCCGGCCAACACTTTCATTTTTACTGGGCCATGTTATTTTGGTTTGGAAGAGGTTGAATTACAAATCCGGAAACAAGCTTACGTGGCTCAGTAATTTCCACGTCATTCTGGTTTGTACAGGTGGCATCCACATAATTTCCACATCATTTATAATATCATTTATATAAAAAAATAATCAAGTGGTTTCGTTAGTTAACCTGCCACATCAGCAAAAATTTAACGGAAGGACTAAAAAAAGGGGCCGAATTTCAAATAGTAAGGACCAAAAAGGGGATTTTTTTGGTACAAGGACTAAAAAGGGGCTTTTTGCTATAGTAGAGGGATCGAAAAAGGTATTTAACCTTCCACTATGTAATAAAATTGTACATAATATACACTCAAGTATTTTTCTCTCTTGGTGTTTCCCACTCCCCTAGGATATGATCACAATCCTAATAAACTCACAATTTTATCACTCAATGTACTCTTTTTATAGAGCACATTCACACCTAAGCTTAATGCCTAGCTCTCACCATTTTTTTTTCTTTCACCTGAGCTCTCACTTTGCTCACTGCACTCTTGCTGCTTGCTTTGTTGCTTGCTACCTTGCCATTACATGGGTATTTATAGGGTAAAAACCCAACCACCCGGTGCAACATTTCTTCACCTCATTAAATGAGGTTTCTGTAATGGTTGAAATAACCATTGCAAATTTTTAGCAACTGTTACTTATAGGTGCAGCCTTTGGCCATAAAACAGTAGAAAAATGGGGTGGACTTTCATGGGCTGGAAGCATCTACCAACAATCTCCCCCTCTAGCCCCAAGAGAGGAGACATAAATCTCGACTCCTTACTTGGAGTCCATCCCAACCAACTTCGTGCAATATTCAAACTTTTCCTTGGGAAGAACTTTTGTCATCATATCAGCAACATTGTTGTTTATGTGAATCTTTCTGAGTTGAAACTGCTTGTTCTCTGTCACCAAGCACAACCAATGATATCTCAGATCTATATGTTTTGTTCGAGGATGGTACATAGTATTCTTGCTCAAATCTATAACACTCTGGCTGTCACAAAATATTACATACTCTTTCTGCTTCAATCTTAATTCTTGTAAGAATCTCTTCATCCAAAACATCTCTTTACCAACTTCTGTAGTTGCAATGTATTCAGCTTCGATTGTTGGCAAGGCAACACACTTTTACAATTTTGATTGCCATGATACAACTGCTCTTGCAAAAATGAATAAATACCCTGAAATAGATTTTCTATTATCAAGGTTACTTGCCATGTCTGCATCTGTGTATCCCTTTAGAATTGGTTCAGTTTGCCCAAATGTCAAACACAACTTGGTAGTTCCTCTCAAAAATCTGAAGATCCACTTAACAACTTCTTAGTGAATCTTACTTAGATTAGACAAGAATCTACTCACGACACCAACAGCATGAGCAATGTCTGGCCGTACACATACCATCGCATACATCAGTGAACCGACCGTAGAAGAATAAGGAATGGATGACATTTTCTCCTTTTCTTCTTTGGTATTTGGACAAGATCGTTTACTTAGCTTGAAGTGATTTGCAAGAGGAGTGCTAATTGGCTTAGCATGTTGCATGTCGAACCTTTCAGGCATCCATTCAACATACTTCTCCTGTGATAACCACAGCTTCCCAGCCTTTCTATCACGGGTAATAACCATACCCAGAATTTGCTTTGTTGGTCCTAAGTCCTTCATGTCAAAGGACTTTGATAACTCATCTTTTAACCTGTAAATTTTCTCAACATCTTGTCCCAAAATAAGCATATCATCAACATATAACAATAGGATAATGAAGTTGCTATCAAGGAATGATCTGATGTAAACACATGGATCTGCATTTGTTCTTTAGTAGCCATGACTCATCATAAAAGAGTCAAACTTCTTATACTACTATCTTGGAGCTTGTTTCAGTCTATACAAGCTTTTCCTTAACTTGCAAACCATGTGCTCCTTCCCTTCTTCTTTAAAACTTTCTAGTTGATCCATATAAATTTCCTCATGCAAGTCACCATGGAGAAATGCAGTTTTCACATCTAACTGCTCAAGCTCAAGCTCAAGATTCATAAACTTTCAGCCATTCAGCTAGGTCTAGTGGTATGGTTCTGTCTTCTACTTAAACTGCAGTGGAAATCTAATGCCATAAGTCTGACAAAAATAAGGATAATGAGTTCCTTCGTTACATTGCCTTGAATGCTGGTTAGTGGGTCCCTCTATGGGGCTCTTCTTGGCTCCCTCTATGGGGCTCTTCTTGGCTCCCTCCTTGTTTACACAATTTGCAGATTTCCTTGGTATATCATTTTCTTGTCTTCTTTGTTGTAGTTGGAATCCATACATGACATCTCTTAACCCAATGTTTGTGTTTTATGCTTTAAGGGAGAAGAAGGGAACTTATATCAACTGCATTGCTATATGTACTTGGCACTTTGATAACAGCCCTCGCTCCAGGCCTTGGTGTTCTCTTAGCAGGACGGCTACTCTATGGCCTTGGTATTGGCTTGGTGAGCTTTAAGAAACTTACCACCATTGCTTATGTGCTTTCCTCTAAAGCACTGTCATCATTTAATGTTCACATGCCATACATGGGGCTCCCCTCTACATTGCATAAACTTGCCCTTCTCAAGTACGTGGAACTCTAATATCTCTGAAGGAACTTTTCATAGTTATGGGAATTTTGGTAATTTTAAGATTTTCATCTTTATTTTATTCACTTTCATTGTAGAATATGCTGAGCTGAAATATGGATTCTTTCACAGTTGGAATATTTTGTAGGAAACTTTCAAATTAACGCCATTGGAGGATGGCCTTACATGTATGGATTCAGTGCCCAAGTAGCATTACTTATGGGAGTTGGCATGTGGAGTCTTCCACCATCACCATGGTTGTTACTTCTTAGGGCAGTTCAGGGTAAAGGACCTTTACTACAGTACAAAAAGGAGGCCACCCTTGCACTAAGCAAATTAAGGGGCTGGTCTCCCAATGATGAAGCCTCTGAGAGTTAAATAGAAGATACCCTCATCTCAGTAAAGTCTACTAATGTGGAAAAGGAATCTGAGGGGAATTTCCTGGAGATATTTCAGGGGCCAAGTTTGAAGGCTTTTATAATTGGTGGTGGTTTGGTTCTCTTTCAACAGGTATTTCTCATTTTTGCTGGCACAGACAGTTTACAGTTATTTTCTTTTAAGTTGTATTATGCATTTTTATTTTATGGTTCTTCTAACAAACAAGTAATGGAGATAGTACATGAAA